TTTTCAAATATGGCTTTTATAATGTTTAGGTATATTCCTTGTCTCCCAACATTCTTGAGGGTTTTTATTAAGAAAGGATGCTGTATTTTGTCAAATGCTTTTTCTGCATCTATTGACAGGATCACATGGCTCTTATCCTTTCATTAATGTGATGTATCACACTGATAGGTTTGCAAATATTGAACCAGCCCTGAAGCCCAAGAATGAATCCCACTTTATCATGGTGAATAATTCTTTGTATACGTTTTTGAATTTCATTTGCTAGTGTATCTTGTTGAGAATTTTTGCATCCATGTTCATCAGGGATATTGGCCTGTAGTTCTCCTTTTCTGTAGGGTCTCTCTGGTTTTGGAATCAAAGTAATGCTGCCTTCAAGGAATGAATCTGGAAGTTTTCCTTCCATTTCTATTTTTTGGAACACCTTGAAAAGGAGAGGCATTAACACTGCTTTAAATGTCTGGTAGAATTCCCCAGAGAAGCCATCTGGTCCAGGACTCTTGTTTGTTAGGAGAGTATTGAAAACTGATTCAATTTCTTTACTAGTTATGGGTCTGTTCAAATTTTTATTTCTTCCCATTTGAGTTTTGGTAGTGTATGGGTGTTTAGGAATTTGTCCATTTCTTCCAGGTTGTTCAATTTGTTGGCATATAATTTTTCATAGTATTCCCTGATAATTGTTTGCATTTCTGCAGGATTGGTTGTAATAAATCCATTTTCATTCATGATTTTATTGACTTGGCTCCTCTCTCTTTTCTTTTTGAGAAGCCTGGCTAGAGGTTTATCAATTTTGTTTATTTTTTCAAAAAACCAACTCTTGGTTCTGTTTTTTTGGATTCTATATTGTTTATTCCTGCTTTATTATTTCTCTTCTTCTGCTGGATTTGGGGTTTCTTTGCTGTTCTATATCTAGTTCCTTTAGGTGTGCTGTTAGATTTTGTATTTGGGATTTTTCTTGTTTCTTGAGATAAGCCTGGATGGCAATGCATTTTCCTCTTAGGACTGCCTTTACTGCATCTCAAAGGGTTTGGATTGTGTTTTCATTTTCATTTGTTCCCATATGTTTTTTATTTTTATTTTTTTTAATTTTTTTTTCAACGTTTATTTATTTTTTGGGGACAGAGAGAGACAGAGCATGAACGGGGAAGGGGCAGAGAGAGAGGGAGACACAGAACCGGAAACAGACTCCAGGCTCTGAGCCATCAGCCCAGAGCCTGACGCGGGGCTCGAACTCACGGACCGCGAGATCGTGACCTGGCTGAAGTCGGACGCTTAACCGACTGTGCCACCCAGGCGCCCCTCCATATGTTTTTTAATATTTTTTTAATTGCCTATCTATCTTTTAATTCTTTAATAGGATGTTCTTTAACCTCCATGCATTGGAGGTTTCCCAAACATTTTTTCTTTGGTGATTTCAAGTTTCATAGCATTGTGATCTGAAAGTGTACATGGTTTAATCTCAGTTCTTTATTATTTATTGAGGGATGTTTTGTGACCCAGTGTGTGATCTATCTTGGAGAATGTTCCATGTGCACTCAAGAAGAAAGTATATTCTGTTGCTTTGGCATGCAGAGTTCTATATATATTTGTCAAGTCCATCTGAACCAATGTATCATTCAGGGCCCTTGTTTCTTTATTAATTTTCTGTCTAGATGATCTTTCCATTGTTGTAAGTGGAGTATTAAAGTCCCCTGCAATTACCACATTCTTGCCAATAAGATTGCTTATGTTTGTGATTGATTGTTTTATATATTTGGGTGCTCCTGAATTCGATGCGTAGACATTTATAATTTGCTCTTCTTGACGGATAGACCTCGTAATTATTACATAATGTCCTTCTTCATCTCTTGTTACACGCTTTAGTTTAAAATCTAGTTTGTCTGATATAAGTATGGCACAGATTCACCCATAAAAATCTTAAAAAATGTATGTGTTCTGAATCCTGGTTAGAAATCACTAAGTACCATTGACAAATAAATTCCTGATATCTATATGATATAGTAATTTAATTTTCAGCATATTTTAATTTTCCGAACATTAATTATGTATTTATGTACGGCATTGAATATATCACATCTTTCAGTTATATCTGTAAAACTACATTTGTTTCAATTTTATAATGCTAAAAACAAATAATTGTTTTATTATATCTGCTAACAATATTTTCTGGTTTTTTTTCAAAAATAATTCAAATAGCTCTCAAATTATCTATCTTGTCCTTAGTATCAATCTATGTCTGTATTTATATCTATTTATCTCAAACACATGAAGACTAATATCTAAACATCTAAAAATGGATTTATTTAATCTTTACAAAGTTATATGAATATACATTCTGCCAGTGGAAACCACCCTACATATAATATAACTTCTCCATGTAAAATGTTATGCTAGAAGATGAAGATAGAATGAATATTAAATCAGTTTTGCATCTTTGTTTCTCTAACATACTGGTGGTAACAATAGTCACTTAAACAGATAAAATAACATGTCATGACTTGCATGGCTTTGGGTAAGAGATAAGCCACTGTAACAACAACAGCAACAACAACAAAAAAACAAATACACAAGCTTAAACCAGATTCATCTACTTATTTCTTATAACATTTCAGAGACAAGCAATCAAAGAAGATAAAGAAGTTGTGTTTCCCTCAGTGTATGGCTTTCATCTCTGATTCCCAGTTGGCTATTCTGGTTGCCATAATTTGCAATTTCAGGGTTTGTAGAAAATAACAAATAAGCAGAACAAAAATAATATATAAATAGTTAGTTGTGACTCAAGTTCACAGATTAGCCCAAAATCCACTTAAAATTTCCTTGTAAATCTTATGTCAAGTAAAAACTGTTCATTTGTAGGGTGGAACTCCAAGAAACCCAACCAAAGTGAACTTTGGGAAGCTTAAGACCTGAGTAAATTTGCTGCTACACAATACAGGTTAGGCAGTGGATAGATGTCAAGGTCTTCCAAAATAGAAGGACTTCTATGAACAAACCAGGCTTTTCTCTGAAATCCCAGAAGCTCTATATTGTGTGTGGAAGAACCATACACTGGAGTAAAGACAAAAATGACATTCACCTGCCCTAAGCAAGTCTAAAGCCAAAGTAGATGATATCAAACTGATGGGCCTATAATCTCTCTCTGCCTGCCAGAAAAAACAAACAAGCCAACTTAATTCTCTGTGGAAAATATAACATTATCCAGATTCAACACAAATTTCATATGTGCAGATTCAATAAAAATTATGAGGCATATTAAAATACATGGCCAAATTAATAAAAAATAAAAGTTAAACAGAAAATAGAAGCATAACTAAAATTGGCTCGGATATTAGTGTAATTAGGCATATCCTTGAAATGACTATAACAATATGATCAAAAAACGGAGAAAATGACAACTTTTATTTCAATAGATCAGCTACCATATTTATATCTATTTGTATATCAGAATTTTTAGTGTTAATTATGTAATTACATTTATTTAATTTTATAATATTGCACATGTAATAAATAATTTTAGTTTCATTTCTATACACAAATGGATTCAGTGTCCATCAAAAAGTGTTTTCAATATCTAGTTACACATCTCCTGAATTATTTCTTTTTATTCACTATGCATTTGGTTGTATTTAAAAGCCACGCATATTTTTAAAGAAAGTTTCATGTTTGTTAAATCCCCTGAATCATTTTAAGAATGGATAATCATTATGTTTTCTTAACATGAGAGGAAAAGTTTCATCCAACTTAACTCACAGCTAGAGCAAATCCTGGGCACTAGGAACTAGTCAGAATGCTGTCTAAAGAATGGCTGAAGACCAGTGTGTCTGAACAAAGTTTGTGAACATTTAGTGCATAATATAAGTGTATTTCATAGATTGTAATCCAGGTGGACATGGAGGTGGATTAAAAGAGCTATGTATACATGTGTATAATAATTTTGCAGTTACCAGTTCTATATGGAGGACTGAATGTCAGTCAGTAAGGAAATGCTTCCACACTGTCTTGAATAAAACTATCTTAGGCCATATTTTTGTTTATATTGCTTGGTTTACAGTTTTAATAGCTTTTATTTTCAACACTGTCAATAAATTTTACATTGTAAATGACATTAATTAAAATCAATTTCCAATAAAAAAGAGCGGTACATAATTAGGCATATGGTGTCCTTGTCCTTCCCACTGAATTTGAATTAAATAGAAAAGTAAAATCTTTTATTTCATAAAAGATAATAAAAATTTTTAAGTCAGTTGTCAAAGATATAGAAAAGTCAACATTTCTGTCTGTCTTTGTCTGTCATTATGTTTGCAAGGTATGAGACGGGAGAAAGAAATGATCTATAATAATGACAGAGCATGTAGTCTTAACTTTCAGTACATACATAAAATTCCATTTAATAATCATCATTTAAGAAGAATATGTGGACACTAATACTTTCATGCGATTAGTGCTCATTGTTTCATCAGATTCAGGAATAGTTATAACTCCCAAATGTTCAAAACATCTCTCTCTAGAATTCCATTTGTGTAATAGGAGGATATATTAACTTAGGCCTCTTCTGAAACAAAGCTAGTGCAACATGTTTGCATTAGAAATACAGTTGGGACAGAAGTGGAATGCATACAAGAGTAATTCTGAAATGTGCTGAACTTTCTACAAACTCAGATATATAGTTATGAACAGATAAGACCTCTAACAGGAAGCCAGACATAACTGTGTTGTGCTTTTTTAGTCCTTGCTTAATGGATCACTGAATGTGACAACAGGGTGCCCAGTGCAGTGCTAATTGGATGTGATGTTCTCAGTGGTGCATTGACATTTTTGGGAAAAGGTGTCTAATAAAGGTGTCTGTCTTAGACTTGGGACACACTGCTCAGGAAGACACATGATTTCAGAGTCTGTTCTTTTCTAACATAATAAATGTTTGATTTGCATTTTGTGTGTGTATGTGAGGCACCCAGGATTGTTTGATAAACTTTTTTCTTCTGCTTTTCTATTTTTTCCTGTAGTTTATTTAATGCTTTTATTAAAACCAAAACAGAAATCAGGACAAGGACATCTCCTCTGCCAATTCCTTTTGGAAAAAAATTATTATCCTTTAAATTTCTTCTAGAAGGCCTGACTGAACAGGGAGGTAAGTTCATGAATGACTGATTAATGTGGAAGCTGGTACTCTGGAGAACATATTGTAATACCAAGCAGATCGGAAAATGTGTGCTGAATTATTGTTATGGTAATTACCCTCCACTGAATTTATCTTGGTGTTAAAAAGTAATAATAAAAATCTTGAATAGGTAGAATAATTACACTTAACTGCTGTAATTAATAAATTAATTTTAGAAAACGATTCATATCAGGAATGAATTATAATGACTGAAATTTAAAACCTCTGTGCTTACACTTTCTACCAAAGTTTTAACAAATTGTGTTTAAATTATTATTAAAAAGAATATTTTTCTGGCTTAACTTTCTATGTATCTTAGTTTTGATTCTTCTGTCTACCCAATTTTAATATGTAATCAATGTCTTCATATTATAAGGATGTGCGAACCAAATACACTTTTAGGAACAGTTACCCTCATTCAAGGGACAATTGTGATTTACTGTATGTCCCCAGACATATATATGTCAATGAAAACACATGCACAGGCTATACAGCACACAAAACTGCTTCCATAGATGGATTTGCTTGCTTATCATTAAAGCTTATAAAAACTTCATGAAAAATGTTCTAACTATAGTTTAATACTAATCTGTATTCTTATTATCCCAAATTCTATGATGATACTGGACAAAATTCATAAACTAAGAAGACATTATAGTCAATGGCTTTTGAGTCAAAAATGTATTTAAGAATATTTTTATAACTTTTATGTAACTTGACTTAAACATTCATTTGTACATATTTCTTTTTTTAAATTTTTGTTAATGTTTATTTTATTTTTGAGAGAAAGAGAGCACAAGCAGGGCAGGGGCAGAGAGAGAGACACACACAGAATCCAAAGCAGGGTCCAGGCTTTGAGCTGTCAGCACAGAGCCCGAACTGGGCTCAAACTCATGAACTGCAAGATCATGACCTGAGCCAAAGTTGGATGCTTAACCAACTGAGCCACCCAGGTGCCCCTGTACATATATCTTAAAATTTCACTAAGTTCTATGAGAATTTTAGTTGGACAACTACTAAAAAGGCCATGAGATACAATAGATGCTGCACTGATGAGGAGAGAGAAGGTTTCTGTTCTGCATCTACCATTTCATTTCTCAGAATCATCATTGTGTTTCTATAAAATCTATCAAAATACATTTGCATAAATTTTTGTTATGTTATAATTAAAACAAATATAATAATTTGGGAACAGATATTTTATTTTTTTATGTTTATTTATTTTTTGAAAGAGAGAGAGTGCGCACGCACAAGTGGGGGATGGGCAGAGAGAAGGAGAGACAGAATCCCAAGCAGGCTCCGCGCCATAAACCCAGAGCTCAATGCAGGGCTTGAACTTGCAAACCACCAGATCATGACCTGAGCTGAGATCAAGGGTTGGATGTTTAACCCACTGAGCCACCGAGGGGCCCCGGAAACAGATATTTTAAAAATATTAAAGTGTATTAAAAATTTAAGCAACAGGGGCGCCTGGGTGGCGCAGTCGGTTAAGCGTCCGACTTCAGCCAGGTCACCATCTCGAGGTCCGTGAGTTCGAGGCCCGCGTCAGGCTCTGGGCTGATGGCTCGGAGCCTGGAGCCTGTTTCCGATTCTGTGTCTCCCTCTCTCTGCCCCTCCCCCGTTCATGCTCTGTCTCTCACTGTCCCAAAAATAAATAAAAAACGTTGAAAAAAAATTAAAAAAAATTTAAGCAACATTATATTATTATGATCACACATTTCTAAATTTAACATGGGAAACAGATACCACCTCAGAAACAGTGGAAAGAGCATATACTGAAGAAACTCCAAGTACTGTTTCAGTGAAATTTTAATCCAGTAAATGATGATCCCATTATTTATTTCCATGGCCAGAGTGTCTGGATTATCAACACAACTTTTCTCCCTTCTTCCCTTCCTCTGTTTTTTTCCCCTGTTGTTGTATTTGTTCTTCCATTCACTTTATTTTTTCTTGCCCATTACAATTCCAACACTATAGTGTGTTCTGTTGTTCACTGCAGTGATCTGACAAGTGTATGTATCTGGGAATAACGAATGCTGAACTGAAAATGGAACTATGCTAAATACCAGTTTAATTTTCATTTAAAACCATGCCCTTCCCCTAGCCTTTTAGAAAGACAAGTCTCTTTCTTTTCTTGATGATGTATTTTTAAAATTAGACTTGAAATTGAAAGTAAAATTAGAAAAAAGCTTACAGTAAAGAGTATCAAATGAAAAACTAACAACCATATAATTAGTGAGTGGACCTTCATTTAACACAGTTTCAGGTATTTTATTTACTTACATTCATTCCTAAAAATGGATGGCTACTACATATCCAGAGTGTTAAAGGAAGGTAGAGAAAGTGAAATGAGCCCTATTTAAGAAGATTTCAGTTGATATTAATCTAATTGTTTATTTCATAACAGTCGTGAATTAATGTAACCCTATTCTTGGTTTTCACTTTCTTGTGTACATAATGTATAGTGGCACTAATGCTAAATATAGACAGATTTAGGCACCTACATCTGCGATAGAGGCATAGAGACCAACTATCCTCACGGCTAAATTCAAGAGCGTGCACTATTCGCTCTTTGTTTTATTGAAGATCTTGCTGGACAAATAGCCAACCTTTCTAGCTTTTGTTTATACTGAGTAAATTCCTAAGATTCTGGATTCACACTAAAGCAAATGCTGACAGTGGTGAGTCAACTTCACATCATATTTCTCCAGGGCTAATTTTACTGTTGGTGCTTTTCCTTTCTGAACATAAAAGGTTTATCATCGTCAAAACATACTTCTCTGATTCATGCTAAACTTGTCAACTGTCATATACCTGAGTTTATAATAGCTATTTTATCCAAAGACACTTGGAAAATTATTTTTTTGCATTTCATATTTCCTGTCTTCTACTTTTAACTGATCTTTTTGCCCCAAAATTCAAATAAGTTACTGTGTATTCCATTTGGGAGTGCAGAAAAGTTGAACATCATATATTTTTTTTTTATTTAAAAAAATTTTTTTTTCAACGTTTACTTATTTTTGGGACAGAGAGAGACAGAGCATGAACGGGCGAGGGGCAGAGAGAGAGGGAGACACAGAATTGGAAACAGGCTCCAGGCTCTGAGCCATCAGCCCAGAGCCCGACGCGGGGCTCGAACTCACGGACCGTGAGATCGTGACCTGGTTGAAGTCGGACGCTTAACCGACTGCGCCACCCAGGCGCCCCTGAACATCATATTTTTAAAGATACTTTATATAGACAAATTTGTCAAATAACATTAAAATAGAGAGGGTCATTTATAGTGAGCCTGCTGCTTGACAATTGACAAAATTTCCTGATTTGTCTAGTGGCTTTAAATAGAAGATGCTACCTTCCTGAGTGCATACACACCCAAACAAATGAAGGCACCTGGGAAGAAAGAATAGTGTAGTTATAATTGTAAGCAATCTAGACAATCAGTGTGACATTATTCTCCTTCCATTCCAGAATGTACTATATTTCAAAATAGAATCTTGAGACATACTTTGTCTGTTTGCCAATGAAAGATTTATGCAATTTGATCATTTCAGCTTCCATGCCTAGTAATAGGAGTGTGTGTTGTGGGGGTGGGGGGAATACTTTCAGTCTTTGTTTAATTTTGTCATAACAGAATTTTATCTTGTCCTCCTACTTATAATCTCAACTCCTCCTTCAAAAAAAGTGGGATGTACAATATGACAGTTTAAATTCAGAGAAAAGGCTTGGGACATGTTCACTTGGAAAGGGGGAACTATGTATTAAAAAAGACAATGTGTCTGCCCTTTGTTCTGTCTTTCACTTTCTCTTATCTACCTTTAGGGACTGGTTGACCACAGTACCTCTCTGGCAGTCTCTTGCAGTTTCTTCTCCTATGTGACTAGCTAGACAGTGATAAAATCCTCAGAAATTTTGTTGTAATGGAAACACAAATAATACTTGCTTCCGTTAAAAAAATTAACCAAATAATTTATTAGCTTACATAAACAAAAAGTAGTGGCTTCAGATACAGCAAGTCCAAAGTTCCAGTGATGTTCTAAGGGGTCTGTCACGGATACATTTCCTCTTTGTTTCCTAGATTGTCACTCTCAGTTTGGTTGACTAATCCATCAAAAAGAGAAAAATTTTTCTAAAAAATGTGGTAAGGTCTCTAGTGAAACGCTGGTCTAACTTTCATCCATTCCTAAAACACTTAGATTGGGTGTTGGGCTACTGTGGCTGACCATGCCTAGATGTGATGTTCACCAGTTCTAGAGGTCATACAGAGCAGCCTTGGCCATATCCTATATGGTAAGTAGTACAAATAAATGATTAGTGAAGCATCCAATTGTATCATTTAATTATTTCTGTGTAATAAAGCATTTGAACACTTAGTATCATAAAAAGCAAGTGTGTGTCATTATTTACAAGGCTATGGATATTTAGGATGATTATACTAATATAAGCTGGATTCAGCTGACCTTAACTATGCTTATTCTTATGTCTGCACTTATCTGTTAGACTGAGTGGGTCTGCGTCATGTAAAATGGCCGTGGGTGTTAGGACGTGGCTCTGCTCGATGTTGTATCTTATCTTCCAGCAGTCTGAATTTGTTCTCATGGCAGAAGCTGGTATTTAAAGTTTGAGAGTGGGACACACACAAGACTCTTGATATCTAGGTTTAGAACTGGCTTGTCAGATCTATTGCATTCTATTGGCCAGGACTGCCTAGATTCAAGATTGGAGAAATACACTTTGCCTTTTGATGGAAGGAGCTGCAAAGTCACAGTGTAAAAGTTGGATGGTGGAATGGCTGGAAAAATGAGAATGTTAGCGCAACTAATCTTAATATCAATAAAGGGAAAAAAGTAATGCTTGGTAGGCAAAATAAGTTTAAAAGTATCTATTTTGGGGCATCTGGGTGGCTCAGTTAATCATCTGACTCTTGATTTCGGCTCAGATCATGATCTCATGGTTTCATTTGTGAGTTTGAG